CTCCCAGGTCCCAGACTTGAAACTTTATATTCTTGTACTGCACGGTCTCCACGTTGAAGCCGATGGTAGGTATCGTCTGGACGACCTCCCCTTTTCTAACCCTGACGCTGTCCCGCGATATCTTCATACGACCGCGCCAGGATGGCCAACGACGTGTTAGGAGAGCCTCTCAGTAAAACGTGCTCAAGAAGAATAAATGTAAAGAGTATCCAATGGTATCCCTAATGTCACTCATGACAGCGTGGACACATTAACTTTAGGGATTTATCTGCCGAAGTGCTCGTCATCATCCACGCTATCACAACTGCTGCCGCTCACTGACAACGTCAGCATCATCGTTTGATACACTATTAGTCACCAGCATGATTGGCAGTATTGTCACCACCTGTACTCGTAGTTGTTGCAATAGCTCTCATTATCATCTGCACCGCGCAGACTCATAACGTCTACCCACCTCTCTGAGCTGATCTCTGCAATTCGCCACTCTTCGATTTTGCACATTTTAACATCTCATGCTTCTGCCAGTCTGTGCAACCCGCGGGTCTTTAAGACAGGGGCGGCCTCATCCACCTGCAGCCTGTAAAGGATCGTAGTCTTCCCCGCGTTATCGAGGCCCAGAATAAGAATCCGGACCTCACCCGTCACCAGCTATGTACGACCAGACGGCTATGACAAAACCAAGCTGATTCTGCAGCACAAGACTCTGGAGGACACAAAATAACCTGAAGAGACGTCCCCCCGACAGGCAAGAGACGAGCGAGAGATTCGAATAGACTGACCTGAGAACCAAACTGCGAGAGGAGGTGGAGCAGAGAAAGGGAACGAGCTACAAGGACACTCTCAAGCAAGAGGTTGAGCCAGCGAATCCTGAAGCCCGCCTGCATGGCAGGTCTGCGAAAAGGCCAGGAGCGAAACGCTCAGTCTGCATACTCCGACGCTCACCCCACTCAAGGGATCCAAACATCCTATGTCGTGGTTCTGCCGCAAAGCTGCGAGGCAGGTGGCCGGATCCGAGGATCGAATCGGCAGAGGTCGGCAGAAATCTTCAGCCAAACCGAAATCGACAGAAGCCGCAGGGCCGAGCCGGATCGACTTGGGAGCCGGATCACAGCAAGCCGGATCGGAATCGAAACGGGAAGGCCGGGAGGGCAAAGGAGGAAAGGGGGGAGGTGATCAGCCGTCCCAGTCCCCACCCCCATTCCCCTGTCCACCCCCAAAGTCCCCTCCCCCAGTCCCCCCCCACTGTCCCCCCCCACTGTCCCCCGCCAGTCCCCCTCACTGTCCCCACCCCACTGTCCCATCCCACTGTCCCCCCCCACAGTCCACCCCACTGTCCCCCCCGCTGTCCCCTGCTCCCCCCCGCAGTCCCCCCTCACAGTCTCCCCCGCTGTCCCCCCCACTGTCCCCCCCCCCGATGTCCCCCCTCCACAGTGCCCCCCGCTGTCCCCCCGCACGGAACCCGGTACGGAGCCCGCCGCCCCCCCAGAGGGGGGCCGCGGCGAGGCCGTGAGCCCCCCGGGCGGGGGGAGCGCAGGCCCCGCTCGCTCCCGAGCGGCCGCGAGGCTCTGTGGAGCCCAGGGCCCTGCGCGGGCCGCCAGGGCGCATCCTGGGCCACGTTGCGTTGCTGGAGGCCTGCTAGATGGGGCCCGAGGAGCGGAGCAAGGAAGGACAGAGCCGCTCAGACCGCGCGGGCCTAAACGTGCGCGCCAGCGGACAGGACGTGCAGGCTGTTTGGTCGGCGTATACATGCACGCGTCGCGTGGCAAGGAGATAGGGGCCTCCTAGATGGGGTCCGAGTAGATAGGGTCGGAGAATCGCGCCGCATCGCCGATACATCGGCGATTTATCGGCGATGCACCAGCGATGCATCGTCGACGTCGGCGATGCATCGGCGACGTCGACGTGAAGCAAATCGGGCTCCAGGCTCCACATCGCGCCGCATCGGCGATGCATCGGCGATGTGGCGCGGTCCTACGACCCCATCTACTCGGACCCCATCTTGGAGGCCTAGAGAATCCTCGGGGGACCTTGTCGTGATCGTCTAGTGTTCGCGAAGCCGAGGTGTCAGGATCTTCCTCTCTCCACTCGGCCTTCGGGTCAAGCAGCTCGGGCCTAGTGCGGCCGCTCGGAACGACCTCGGACCCCCTGAAGGCTCTCAACCACAGGTGGCTGGTGGAGAACACCCGGGGTCAGAAAACTTCCGAGGAGAAGGACTGGTTATGTTGCACTCTCGGGGGACCACGTCTGCCCCGTCGCGGCCCCATCCGCGCCGAATCCGTGCCGAATCCGTGACGGCCTCGTCGGATCTGTGTCAGATCCGTGCCGAATCCGCGCCGAATCCGCGCCAGATCCGCGTCGAGCCCGCATCGAGCCCGCCTCGGGCACAAGAGGAGGAAGACGAGGAGGAGGAGGAGGAGGAGGAGTGAGGAGGAGGAGGAGTGAGGAGGAGGAGGAGGAGACACCAATCTGGGGGACGGGCGGGGTCCTCCCGAGATGCAGCGTGAGCCACGGTGGCGGGGGGGGACACTGGGCCCAGTGAGCATCGCTCATCCGGCCCCGAACTCGGCGGCGAGCGAGGGGGAGGACGAGGGCGAAGACGAGGACGAGGACGAGGACGAGGACGACGACGACGACGACGACGACGACGACGACGACGACGACGACGAGGAAGAGGAGGCGGTGGGCGAAGACGAGGACGACCACGACGAGGGCGAGGGGCGCTGGAGTCGGCGGCGAGCGAGGGAGGGAAGTGCGAAGGAGAAGGCTTTCTCAGAAGGCCTCGGGACTTCTCGGAAGCCCTCGCTCTCTCTCAGAAGCTTTCTCTGTCTTCGGGGAATGCTTACAAAACTTCTCGGAAGGCCTGGGGACGTCCGAGCCTTCTGAGAAGGCCCGCCCCTTATCACTTCCCCCCGCGCTCGCCGCCGACAATGGGCATCGCTTATCCGACCCCTAAACGTCGGTCGGAAGAAGTAGATAAAAACATGAGGTAGGCAGGCGGACAGAGTAGTTTGCGTCCAGGCCCTCCCAGTGAACAACAGGACACAGCAAAAGCAGATCGGCTCTTAAAGTATGCAGGCGCTGAAAGCAGATTTGGATCTGGGAATCCAGAAATGACTGCTGACGACCGACGTGTGCATATCCCCAACGGCGTGGCCAGGGCTCCACTGGCCGATTTACCCCCCCCCCAAGATGGGGATACAAACCGTTGCCTTGGGGGCTCGACGGGCATGATACCCGACTGGGGCGCCATCGGCGTCGGTGCTCGAGCCTCCCCACGGGCCACGGACAGCATCCGACGCCGTGCCCGAACGCCCACGCACGATGCCACGCAGCACGACGGACCATAGGCCACGGGCACCCGCGCAGGGTACCACCCAGTACCACAGGCCATTGTCGGGGGCGCGCAAACATGGATTAGCAGTCCATGGATTTGGCGCGCGGTCGCCAAATCCATGGATCGGGGGAGGTGCCCTCCCCAAAATGCGGCGGGTGCCGCCTCGCTCGGCGGTGGAAGTCCGCGATTGCCAACGGAAACGGGACCCGTCGCTAATCCACGCCCCCTTAATCCATGTTTGCGATCGCCTGACATTGACGCGGCGGAGTCAGCTCCAGGGTCCCCGATCCCCCATGTGCCAGTCGTGAGGAGTGCTGCCGCTCTGGCTGCTCACGAAGCAGACGCAGAACAAGGGGCAATCGGTCGTGGAATGACGAATTACCTCGGGTGCTCTACATAGCAGTGCTCCTGCCGGAGCCCGCCAGCGTACGCACCCGTTTGTGAACGAGTGAAAGCCCGCGCGCGCGCCCGCGTCGCAAACGCGTGAACGCATCCATCCGCACACGCACTCGCACGCTTGAATGCAGGCACGCCCTCATGCGCGTACTGCACGTTGTCGGTTACCACGTGCACGCTTGAACGCAGGAGCACGCCCGTGCGCGTACTGTACTTTTTGTAGATCACCGCGAGCCCCCCCATACAATGCAGATGGGTGCCAGGTCCCCACGTTCCCGCGACTGCGCACGCGGTAAAGAAGAAAGTTTGCACATACCCAAGCACAAGTGAGCGCAAATGTGCCAGCGCCTGCGAACGCGCGCTCTCGCAACACATTCCTCTTGCCATTGGTTCCTCCTCAGCACCGCTGCTTCTCAGACCACTCCAAAGAGAGCATCGAAAGAAGGTGAGGAGAGGCAAAGAATCAAACATCCGGAAGCAGGCAGAAGGCGAAGCGGAAATAGGAACGAGGCTTCGTGTCCTCGTCGCAGCCGACAACAACAAAAAAACGATACCTGTCTCCAGGTAAGGTTCTTAAGAAGGACCAGCAAGCATGGAACGGCAGGCTCGACCGAACAAGATTACACGCACTTGATTGAAGCATCCCCTATGATTATATCGAGCCCCGTGTCAGAACAGCACGGCCTCCTTGTTGCCGAAGAGGGAGCCGAAGATCGACGAGAACAGAATGCCCATCACGACCACAGGGCGGCCCCCCGCAGGCGCGGCGGCGCCCCTCAGCCATACGTCTGCGGAGGCGCCGCGTGAACCCAATTCCTGGCTGCACCAGTTTTTTGGGGGGGTCTGACGCGCCCCTTCTCGAGTTGCCAACAATGCACAGACGGCCATAACATCACAACGGAAGTTAAAAGACAAACTGAGATATTAGTATTATAACCAAACTCATACGAATCGAACTCTTCTCTGACGTGCACCATGCATCTGCGTCAAAAGTTTCTCTCGAACCCAAGAAACAGCCATCTGGCTGCACCACTAGCAGCGTAAACAAATTATCCTGGCGAAGGACCCAACCATGTGCAGTTGTGAATATCGCATTGCGGGTGCCGCTTTCGGTGGAGCTCCCTATGGGGCCACGAAACGCTGTGCTGGGTGGGGGTGACGCATGCGGGCGGCACCACTGGGGCCTTCGGTGGAGGTCCCTGTGGGGCCACGAAACGCTGTACTGGGCGGGGGTGACGCATGCGGGCGGCACCACTGGGGCCGTCGGTGGAGCTCCCTGTGGGGCCACGAAACGCTGTGCTGGGTGGGGGTGGCGCATGCGGGCGGCACCACTGGGGCCTTCGGTGGAGCTCCCTGTGGGGCCACGAAATGCTGTGCTGGGGTGGGGGTGACGCATGCGGGCGGCACCACTGGGGCCTTCGGTGGAGGTCCCTGTGGGGCCACGAAACGCTGTGTTTGGTGGAGGTGCCGAAATGGGTGTGCGGGACGCATGCGAGCGGTGGCACTGGGGCCTTCGGTGGAGCTCCCTATGGGGCCACGAAACGTGTGAGGGGTGTGCCGAAATGGGTGTGGCTGACGCATGCGGGCTGGGGCCACGAAACGTGTGAGGGGTGTGCCGAATTGGATGTGGCTGACGCATGCGGGCGGCGGCACTGCGGCCTTCGGTGAAGCTCCCTATGGGGCCACGAAAGCGTGTGAGGGGTGTGCCGAATTGGGTGTGGCTGACGCATGCGGGCGGCGGCACTGGGGCCTTCGGTGGAGCTCCCTATGGGGCCACGAAACGTGTGAGGGGTGTGCCGAATTGGGTGTGGCTGACGCATGCGGGCGGCGGCACTGGGGCCTTCGGTGGAGCTCCCTATGGGGCCACGAAACGTGTGAGGGGTGTGCCGAATTGGGTGTGGCTGACGCATGCGGGCGGCGGCACTGGGGCCTTCGGTGGAGCTCCCTATGGGGCCACGAAACGTGTGAGGGGTGTGCCGAATTGGGTGTGGCTGACGCATGCGGGCGGCAGCACTGGGGCCTTCGGTGGAGCTCCCTATGGGGCCACGAAACGTGTGAGGGGTGTGCCGAATTGGGTGTGGCTGACGCATGCGGGCGGCAGCACTGGGGCCTTCGGTGGAGCTCCCTATGGGGCCACGAAACGTGTGAGGGGTGTGCCGAATTGGGTGTGGCTGACGCATGCGGGCGGCGGCACTGGGGCCTTCGGTGGAGCTCCCTATGGGGCCACGAAACGTGTGAGGGGTGTCGAAAATATGCCGCATGCGGGCGGCGCACTGGGGCCTTCGGTGGAGCTCCCTATGGGGCCACGAAACGTGTGAGGGGTGTGCCGAATTGGGTGTGGCTGACGCATGCGGCGGCGCACTGGGGCCTTCGGTGGAGCTCCCTATGGGGCCACGAAACGTGTGAGGGGTGTGCCGAACTGGGTGTGGCTGACGCATGCGGGCGGCCACTGGGGCCTTCGGTGGAGCTCCCTATGGGGCCACGAAACGTGTGAGGGGTGTGCCGAAATTGGGTGTGGCTGACGCATGCGGGCGGCAGCACTGGGGCCTTCGGTGGAGCTCCCTATGGGGCCACGAACGTGTGGTGGGGCCACGAAACGTGTGAGAGGTGTGACGATGATGGTGGTGATGACGATGATGATGATGATGATGATGATGACGATGATGATGATGATGATGATGATGATGATGATGATGATGATGATGATGATGATGATGATGATGATGATGATGATGATGATGATGATGATGATGATGATGATGATGATGATGATGATGATGATGATGATGATGATGATGATGATGATGATGATGATGATGATGATGATGATGATGATGATGATGATGATGATGATGATGATGATGATGATGATGATGATGATGATGTGATGATGATGATGATGATGATGATGATGATGATGATGATGATGATGATGATGATGATGATGATGATGGTGGTGGTGGTGGTGGTGGTGATGATGTGATGATGATGATGATGATGATGATGATGACGATGATGATGATGATGATGATGACGATGATGATGATGCTGATGGGAGGAGGGAGGAGGGGGAAGAGGAGGAGAGGAGAGGAGGAGGGGAACGCGGGGCACCGTCTCTTCAAAACGAGGACCCAACACCACAGGATGGTTGGGAAAAATAGCCTAGCGAAGGACCCAACAATATGCAGTTGTGAGTGCCGTAGTTGTGAGTCTCGCATTCGGTAGAGCTTCACGAAACAGATGACAGATGAGCCCAAGTGGGGGTGGAGCCGCATGCGAACCCTGCCACTGGGGCATTCGGCGGAGCTCCCTACGGGGCCACGAAGCGTGTGTGGGGTGTACCGACATTGGCGGTGGAACCACATGCGAACCCTGCCACTGGGGCCTTCGGCGGAGCTCCGTGTGGGGGCACGAAACTCGTGAGGCATGTGCCCAAATGGAGGTGGAACCGCATGCGAACCCTGCCACTGGGGAGTTCGGTGGATCTCGTTTTCTCCTTCTCTCTCTCTCTCTCTCTCTCTCTCTCTCTCTATCTGGGGCCACGAAACGTGTGAGGGGTGTGCCGATGTATCTTTACAGTGCTACTTGTGCCCAATGCGCTTCCCTTCAGCCCTCTCTTTTCCTCTCGCTTGCTCAAGCCATATGCTGCTCGGGCTCGTTTATCCCTATTTCCCTTTGTCGCTCCAGTCAAGAACAATACGACAACACGTTCTCCTCTCCCGCATGCTTGTGCCAGTTTGCTGTTATTATGTTCGCTGGACGAGGTTGAGGTAGACTGCGAGTACAATCAAGACGTGCCAATCGAGAAAAAAGGAGTCCAACATCGTTGTAGGGATTTCAGTGGTAGCGGAGCCTGTGACGACTCACCGGCTCCAGAGGATCCATGCCGCGAGACGGAGACGGCGGAGACGCTTCAGATCCGCCTGGGGGTGACCAAGCTCGAGGCAACCATTATCGTGATCCTCCACCGAGCTATGACGGTGTTCGTCCCGAAGCGACGTATAAGCTTTGGAAGAAGGAGCTCGAGCTGTATACTCTGACCACGGACATTCCGAAGCAGAAGTGGGGCGCGAAACTCAGTAGGAGGCTGGAGGGCACCGCGAAGGGGGCGATTGCGGACATGGAGGTGGCCGAGATCGTGGATGAGAACGGCCTGGACCGCCTCCTGACCCTGCTGGACGAGGCGCTCGCGCCGTTCCTAGAGCAGACCATGCCGAGGGCCTTCGAGAAGGCGGTGTGCCCGTCCTTCCGCGAGAAGGGCCAATCTATGCTGGACTACACGTTGGCGACGGTCTCCAGGTTCAGTGAGCTGCAGCGCGAGGGAGTGGACGGCGGGCAGCTACAACGAGGCTGAGGTGATCAAAACTCTTCGTCGGCTGGACAAGGTCACTACTGACAAGGGCGACCGGCAGTTCTTCGGCGAAGATGCTGATCCAAGAGAATTCGACGGAGAGAGCTTCCCAGTCATAGGAGATGGAGGTGAAGGAGATAAGGACGACCCCGAGTACGTCTACGTGATTGAGGACGACCTGTGGGAGGTGCACGAGCAGGAGAAGGTCAAGAGGGGCTTCCACAAAGGCAAGGGCAAGGGCGGCGACAAAGGCGGAGGTCCTCCGCCGCCGATCGCGAGGTTCGGCAACAGCGCCAAGTATCGAGACGGCCCGGATCACATCGATGTGATCAAGCTGAGGACGAAGTGCGCTCAGTGTGGCCAGGTCGGGCACTGGGCCAAGGATGGCGTCAATGCTCCTGATGCCCGTGGTGCGGCGGCTGCAGGCGCAGCCATGAGGATGAAGTCCGGTTTCTTTGTGGGCGCGACGGCGCTCGACACAGCAGTCAGCCCGGAATCAAAGGGAGAGTTATTGGAGTGCGATTCCAAGTACAAGCATCGTCGTGATCGTGATCTGGCCCCTGCTGCCCATCGAGCGCCCCATCACCCTCATTGCCACCAGGACCGTCTGGGACGCTCCTCCTGGGTGTGCGAGTCTTGAGGGAGACGCGAGACCCATAGCCGGCCTGGAGGGCCTCTTCCGAGTGCAGGATCTTCTGGGACGTGGGCGCTGGGAAGACCAAGGACCTGAAGGAGCCTCTGGGGATGCTGTGGAGTCTGGGGCCTGGTGTGGGCTCACTCCTGGGAGCGGAGAAGCAGTGGTAGACACCGAGGCCCAATCGGGCTTGATTGAGACGCAGGCTCCGCAACAGTTGAGCGAGGCTCTCAAGGTCTGGGGACTCGGGGTGAAGTGGATCGACAAGCCAGCCTGGGTTCAGGGAGTAGGAGGTCGTGCCAAGGCCGTCGGAGTCGTCGTCACGCCTTTCGGCATCGGAGGCTCCCATGGGCTTCTCGAGCTCACCGTAGTAGAGGGCGCGGTGCCTACGCTGTTGCCCATCAAGACCCTCAAGAAATTCAAGGCCCTAGTAGATCTGGATGACATGAAACTAACATCAGGAAGGCGGGCACAGAGGTTCCCATGGGAGAGACTGACACGGGCCACGCACCGATATCCGTTGTTGAGTTTCGTCCTGAGGGTTGGAAGGCTCCGCCTGGAGCCCACGATCCTCGTGACGAGGACGTCCGCACCGATGGCCATCTGAGTCAAGGCGAGCCTCGACTGGAGTCGACGGCCACTTACGTCTCCAGCCATTCCACATACTCGCGAGGTGCAGACATCACTGCTCCTACATAGCACGGACTGCGCCGCGGCAGTCGTGGGTCCGCTCCGCCTCTGCAGCAGAGTGTTCTTTTGGCGTCCGTGCGGCAGCTTGTGGGGTTGTCCTCAACGTTGTTTTGAC